ATGACAGCGTCGCAACGGCGGCGTCCCAGTAGGATTCCCTACAAACAAAAGAGCGTCTCTGTTCAGACTTCTGACTTCCTCGCTTTACGAGCAATATTTTGCACTTGCAGAACCGGGTCATATTCATAGTCTGCATGAGAAGCCCGCTTGTAAACTGTTACTGAGGAGCTTCAGATCTGCGCGAACGCTGCCTTCAAATAAGGAATCGATGGCGTCAGTAAAATAGTTTCAAGGATTTTGAGAAGTCATCTAGAAACGCAAAAGAAGGTATTGTATTGCATTTTGTTTATTCTATCCAACAGATATCAAATCTAATTTAGAGTGGAAAACGGAAATCTCAACAAATAACCAGATTCAGGATGGGTAAAAACCATGTGTTGGATTGCGACGATTATTCGAGCTCATCAAAGGAATCACAACAAAAACATGACTACCAGAAAAAGGAAGAAATACTGCATCGAACACTATTCAAAGCGTTAATCATCATAATTCTGAATGGTTTGAGCTTGGATTTGAAAAAGGGTACGAACTTTCAAACTGACCTAATAGGAACGTGGAATCTGCTAGATCTGCAATCCGCATCCGAATTCTGTTATAAGCAAAACTCATTTGTCCATATAATACAGCAAAGTAATATGAATAAAGTAGCATTTTAGGTCGAGTTCCTAAGGGATTGTTTGCGATCAATCAATGCCACTATGACAATAAATCCGGCGAGAGCAGATACTCTAGCGATGTTAAAAATGGAACCTTTCAAATACTTCTCATCTGTAGTTTTTGTACTGAACTCATTTTTGCAGCTCGAGAACGGAAGCGCGGATATCACGCTTAGAACCATCAATCAGGAACACCCACGGCAAGAGCAGGTAATACAATTCTCTACAAAAGTGTGTGACATATCTTATCCGGAACTGTCTTGTAGGTGGATTTCACAGTGCCCATTGGTATTCTTTATCATGGCTACTTTGTCAAAGAAAGCACTCATGTTGAAGTCGGAGACTACCTTGGTGACGCTTTTTTTGGAACCGTAAGCAGACACATCCATTAATCTTTTAGAGCAATATCGAAACTTAGGCTCACTACTTATCCCGAAGTAGTCACTAGTTACAGCATGAAAAACAGAACGTCAACAAAAGGAGTGAGGCGAAATGTACGGCAAATACGTAATGTACCATGAATTATCTCCAGTTCAACGTTGATAACTCTCTCTCTCATCAGTGTGTTTAGGGTGTGAACCATTGCGGTACTAGTGAATTATTATTAGGGTGATCGGTAAAAGAGAGGCAGCTTGATTTCTATTACATTTTGAGAGTTTTTTTTATCGATTAACAATAAGCAGGCTACAACTTAGACGTCGCTCA